AATTGTCTTAGTCGTATCGAGTCAAAGCATATCCATGACCACAGATTCTGTAGTATGTTGCAGCTAGAATACTGATGCGGCTTACAGAAGCCGCGCTTTTCGGCCGCTCTGTCATGGTCAAAAAATCTAATACAAGGCAGTATGGATACGTCTATCACTGCATGCAGGCTGCCGCAGTCAGACTGCTTGATTTTGGACATACTACGGTCAAGACACTGTGGATTACATAGCCATCAGTACTTTTCTAAATGCTCTAATCGTGCGTGCTGGTGTTGTTGAGGGTCTTGGGTCGACATTTTATGTCAGGACAGTTTTCCGTTCCGAGCGTGCTGTTGTCAGTTTCCTCTAAGCAATCACATGTATTCTACTTGATGGGAGTGTCCTTAGCTGCTTATCCTGTCTTTCTCCCTCACTGCTCACTTCACTCACTATGTCATATGAGCACAAAAACCGATAACACTATTTCATAATGATTAACACAAAATAATATTCAACAGAAAAGAGACATTCAGTTTTGAAAAACATCGGACACCTCTAAATCACGCGGTGTCTTCCTGAGTTATGTTCTTAACGTAGTTCTGAAAAAGTCCTAAGAAAGTCGTCTACACTCAGAGCATAACATGTTACTATAGACGAGCACAGAAACTAGCTCTGTGTAGCATTCTGTCTTGACCTGCATAGAGTTGAGGAGCGGCGCAGAATGAAAGCCTGATGATTCAGCTTCAAGGCGGTCCTAGTTAACTGGTCAGGGCTTTCACCCTAATAAAATGACGAAAAAGCAATAAAAATCTGTGAAGATTACACAGAGAGGCCGTATAAAAACTTAAAAATGTGATTTTTTTTTTTTCTTCTTTATTGTAGAAAATCCATTACAAAATACTAGCTTAAATATGCTGTGTTGCATGATACAGATTTCCAGTACTAGGCTTGAAACTTGCCTGATCAAGTCAGAAGCTGTGAGGATAAACAAATATATGTGCACTTTTATAAATTATATTTTTATTGAGCAGAGGCCAGCGTATTGTGTGAAAGGCCAGCACGTCCAAGCTGTAGCGCTCACACTGCCGCGATACACCTCACAACGCAGAAGGCAGAAGAGTGAACAGCGTACACAGCCTTCAGTCTGACGGCCACAGCTGCCCAGCAAAACACCAAAAGTAACCGCTCTGTGGTTAATCCTGCTCTGTGTCTATTACTAGCGAATAATATGCCGTGGTGAGTACTCACAGTGAGCCTGATGACCCGACTGCCGGTCATATTTCAAGCAGACGGAAAATGTACCCGTGAACAAGACTGTCAGAATGTTACTGGAGGAGCAGGCGAAAGTTTCTACAGAAACACCGCATTCACATATATATCTTGCGCTCTATTATTTACAATAATGCATCATCAAACATGTTATGTTGAAAAGTATAATAAATCACAACTTGCTGATTATTAAACTTGATTAAAATTAAGTTTTACCAGTCACTCTAGCTTAAGCGGACTTCTATATACACAGATGAGTATGAAATGTAACTTACTGAATTTAGAATTTACTGATACTGACTAATCGCAGCAAGCAAAATCAGAAACTAAATAATGGTACTAAATAATTAATCTTTTGAAAATGGACATTACAAATCCATCAGAATGTAGCTGAGTAAATGGAAAAAGTTACTTCCCCCACTCTGAACTAGATGAAAATGATTCTTTCTTTTATGGATAATGCTTCTATTCATTAGTTCACCTTCAAATGCTTCCAACCTGCACTTTATTAGTGCCACAGACAAACGCTAACATCTAACCTGCTGCTACAAAACCTTATTAGCTCTCTATGCCTGCACTGCTGAGATGAGACAGCTGTATACAGCTCTGAAGCTGAGCGGTCAGCTCTACAGTGCGCTGCTCGGAGTGGAGCTAAAATCGACTCTGACGCCAACCACATGACCTAAACCAGTAAGCAAGCTGAGCTAACTACTTAAGCTGACCTTATGTAGCTAACGTTACTGACTGCACTCAGCAAACTGTCGCAGAAATACAGACAGAAGTACTTAGTCAGGTCGCGTTAGTGAGATTGTCAGTCTTCATTTGTCACTACGCACCTATTTTACAAGCAGATCTAGACCGTCAAGTCACCCATCTACCCAGTCCAGTCGGTATGACAGCTGGAAATATCCTCGTTGGGTAGCGCTGACACAAACCCAAACATCGTCTTAGTAAAATCGTGTAACGACATGTTTGTTACACTTGATGCAATAAAACACGATAAACTGTGCATGTTAATGATGTAAATTTACTAGTCAAACAGCAGGATAACGGTCACGTTTTACTTTAAAAGGTAACATAGAACGCTAGAGTGTGTTGAGCGTCAGACATACCCTGCGCCAGCCTCACCATACGTTTAATTGGTACTGAAGTCTGCCAGTTCTCTATTCTACTGCCCTCTCGTTTTCGAAGCCACTGAATGAAACTGTGCTGTTCTTAAAATGTCAATACACAGCTGAAAGTTGCAACCTCTTAAATATAGTTCAGAATATTTTGCAAAGTATGTAACAATTTATTTCATTATATAGTTTTGTCATGAGAAATCTATAATATACTCTGCTGCCTGTTTTGGTTTATTAATACAAATACTGGAGATGATATTTAATAAGTTGATAGATTACAGGTATAAAAGGTGTAACTGCTCTCTGCTGCGTGAGCAAACGGCCTCACTGCTCTTAGCATTGACCGCCCTGATTTTGGTAAATAAAATAGAAATGGTTTTTATGTTGTAGGAATGACCTTGAGTACATTATTTCCGGTAGTTGAAGAGTTTGTTACAGCTGTGTTGATTGGTACTCGTGTCTCCTAGAGTCCAATTGTTACATTTGAAAGTAGATCAAAGAGCAACATGTAGTTAATCATCGGCGTGTTTACCGCAAATCCAAGACTGGACTGACCGAGATGTGAGTCGTAACGTTTTCCATATAGATAAATGAAAAGTACCATGAACTCAAATGAAAACGCCAAAGGAGGTTTAACGTTTTAAGAAGTAAACTGTTTATGAACGGGGGGTTTATGCCATGGTAATAATCTACCACGCAGTCTTGGCAGGCCACAGGGAGTACCACTTCCATACCACTTGTAAGGGACCATGACTTTACCTCTGAAAATCTCTGTCTAGACAATGATGTCTTAACTCAACTTAGAAGGGTCACGACTGTAGTTAGCAAGAACATAATGAAATAATCTCAGTTATTAACACTGCCTGACCAAGAATAGATCTCTCGTCTGTATTTACCTCTGGTTGCCAGCAGGTTTACCTGTATACAAATGGGTTTGTAGTTCATTGCGGAGGAAATGCCTCTAGTCGTTGTTAGCCGTGTTCTAACAGCTAGTAAAAGTATTATTAATGTTATTATTAATTATCATGTTTTTGTGTTAGTTGTTATCACAAAAATGTAGTTTGTTGTTGAAGGTACTAAAGAATGTTTACTACTGTGTTAATGGACTGCCTCAGGACATGATCAGCTTTTCAGCTACAGGGGACATGGATATACAGTGCGCTGTGGTCATATACATCATTATTTGTTCTGAAATAGTACATCAGGGAATTTTCATGTACTCTACATATTCAGACACATGAAGCACATTATGGTGCACTGCTTTCACGGACTGTGTAGTGAGGAAATCAGCCTTTTACACTCCAAAACTACAAAACCTGTTTTCACATTTTCACTTCTCTTTCCTTCATTTTGAAAGTTCAGTGTGTGTTAAATAATAATAATAATAATAATTATACTACTACTACTACTAATAATAAAATAAGTATATTATTATATTATACTACTCTACTACCCCCAATTATAAGATTATACTAATATTAATAAATAATAATCCACGTTTCCTGTATTTTACAGATGTTCTGTATTTTTACAGAAGGTCAGTATCTGCAGATGTAAGATCATAAACAGACACTCTGTGATGTAAACATTGCTTTACGGTCATTTTGAGCTTTAATGACCAGTAGCAGAACTTTAAAATCTGTCCTGAATGAAACAGTCAGTGCAGCTCTTTCAAAACAGGACTGATCTGATCTCTCTGTGTTGTTTTTGTTAGGATGCTGCTGTATTTTGTACGAGTTGTTAAAGCGATTTACTGTTTATCTGGAGTCCAGTCAGAAGATCATTACAGTGATCAACCTGACTGTAAAAAACAAAAAAAAAACTGCATGAATCAGTTCTCTGCAGTCGCTTCTGAGAGAGAAAAGACCTTTAGTGATTTTCTCACATGATAAAAGCTACTTTAGTGACTGTGTTTAGATGCAGATAAAGCAGAGCTCAGAGTCTAAGATCACACCCAGGTTTCATACTTCAGGTTTAGTAGATGAAGCTAAAGAACACCAAAGTTTCTCATAAATCATTTGATCTCTGAGTTCTAGACCAACGCATCAGATTTCAATTTTTCATGATCTAATCATAGAAAATTTGCGACAGCCTACTGAAGAATCATTACTGGGACAACACAGCTGGTCAGTCTGTCTACAGGGTCTTGATCATCAGAGGGAATGGAAATACACCGATCATGCATAAAAAAAAAACTCCAGCAGCACTGCTGTGTCTGATCCACTCAGACCAGCGCAACACACACTAACACACCACCACCACATCAGTGTTACTGCAGTGCTTAGAGAATGATCCACCACCCAAATAGTACCTGCTCTGTGAGAGGTCCATGGGGGTCTGCACCATCTGAAGAACAGTAGGTACAGAGGGGCTAACAGAGTATGCAGAGAACAGATATGGACTACAGTCTGTCACTGTAGAACTACAAGTGCACTAGATAGTAAGTGGAGCTGATAAAAGACGATGAGCGTAGAAGAAACAGGAGGCTGGTCATATGTTATGCCTGATGTGTTATAATTGGGTGTCATCAGATAGCTATGAAGTTTATATATGCTTCCTAATACTCACCTAGAGGTGAGCATGTACAAATGACTGTGTTATTGTTCTCTCCCAGACCTGATACTGTTGTAGATTCCAAAGGAAGCTGGGCAGCTTGCCTCATTCTCAGATCAAAGGAACTCAAACACTGAGAGAATTGGACCTGAGTGACAATTCACTGTGGCATTTGGGAGTGAAGAGGCTCAGTGTGGGACTGAGAAGTCCAGACTGTAAACTGGAAAGACTCAGGTAAGATCACCACTTTCTCACTGAGGATGTTCACACACACACAGTCATTTTCTAGTCTTCTTCTTCTCAACACAGATGAAAGAGCAGTTGTGAATGCAATTATAACGATGAGGAACCACTAGAATTCAGAACCCACTGCTGAGTCTTTGCATATTCAGGGGAAATTGTTGATTAGGGGAGTTGAGCCTGTGTAGACAGCAGAGAACACGCCAGTTCGTAGAACACAGGGTGGAAATACTGAAGTAGATCTCTGTTCAGAACACTTACGGATATGGAGATTTGCTACTTTAATCAAGTAGAAGATCTACTCCATTCAAATGTTCCAATAACAATAAGACATCATTTTCATGATGCTAGTGATTACACTGTTGGTTGAAAATACATGAACTGTGTGCTTCATAGCCAGTATAGCCACAAGATGGCAAGCATAACAGAAAATAAGCATGTGCCATAAAAATCAATAAAATACATTTTATTATAAGCAACTTATAAGACAGCCAGTTTAAAGTGCGTTTACATAAAAATAAATTAAAATATAAAGCAAAGAACAGAAAAGCAGAAAAAAGAACAGAAAGAATAAAATTAAATGATCAGAAAATAAAATGACTAGTTAATAAAATAAATAATGAGAAAAACCCAAATGATGGAAAAATAAAATAAATGACAACGTATTTAAAGTAAAGCTTGTTAAAAAGATGTTTTCAGATGTTTTAACCTGTGACGAATGAGATATAGCCTATTGTAAGAGGTAATGAGCCTTCACCACAGTTCAGAAAGCGTATTCAATGTTACATTACTATGGAAACCCAAAAGAGCATATAGCCTAGTATCAGTTCGGCTCGAGACAAATGCACATGGACAAGTTTCGCTGCAATCGCTATCCTAGAACAAGAGGTCTGACTTTAATAATATTCCTCAGATAGTAGATTGTAACCTTTGTAACCTTATTAAAGTGAGAGATAAGATTCAGAATTTCAGGTTAAAGTCCTTGATTTAAGCTGCAAGAACACATATTTTGACATCCTAACACGCAGTTTTTATTAATCCGTCAACACTATAGTGTAGTTCCATTAACTGGAGGCAGCCGCCAACTACCCACCTAGCAAATAAGTTCTCATGGCCCAGATCCGGTGTGATTCCAGTTTTTCCAGCAGATCTCGGCTGCGGATCCGAGACCCAGAATACAACATTGCCTGCCGGGCCTGAAGCTGGCCAGGTACCTGCGATGTCGTTAGATGTTGAGCCGAGTATAAGGCCCAAACTGATCCAGAACGTAGCAGAGAGAGCTCCCATCATATTACCCCCCGTGTCAGACAGATGCCATAATCAGCCGAAGAAGCACAACCAGACTACGGGCCAGATGAACGGAAGCGTAATATGTAGATTAAGCTTGTGTTAAAATACAATTATCATTCATAATAATTACCAAGTAAATTGAAGTCTCTTTTACATTTACATGCCAGAAGTGAATTAGTGAAGGCCACCTACCAAAATATAGATTACATATAAAACAAAATGTGACCTGAGTGTTGACCACTAGAATCAACAACAGTGTCCTAAAACAGAAAACAAAAGACAACACTGATTAAAGTTTTAGATATTTTAATAATTATGCAATCACAAAATGTACATTCATAACTCCTCAATTTAGCTATAGTACAGGTGAATTATAATTGACATATATAAGTAGAACACAGCTAAACAATCTGTATTATAGTAGAATATGGTAGTCTATGCATACAGACCTGCACAAATTAAACAAATACATGAATCCCATTCCAGTGCAAGCTAGAACCATCTCTTGATGAGTCTTTCAGTGTTCCCCCCCCCCCCCCCTGTTGTTTGATACACTGTGGGGTTCCTCTCTACAGCAGCTGTTCAGGGAGAGAAGAAAGGATAAATCCCAGTTAACGTCTGGAACATTGTGGTCGTATCTAGAAATGTGGAGACCGTTTCTATACAGAAAATGAGGACCAGAGATTTTTAAAGTTGCTAGTGAGAAGAGATGGGCACATTTTTTGATTTACTCTTTTTGCCAAGAACAGCTCAAATTGATGCCGGGCTGCTTTTTTGCGCCATATCAGTAACCGAAACACTTAAAACATGTTCATAACCTCATATCTGTAATATTAAACAAGTTGAGACTCAGTAAAGACAGCAAAGAGAGGAATAAGCCACAGACTGCTGCCATCTACAAGCTGCTGTTATACCTGGGTTAGGTAGCAGAACATGCCACATGTTGTAATAATTGCAATTAACGTAAAAATATTTTTTAACAAGAAAGCAAGGATTACTTATGTTGAAAACAAAGGCATGACTTCGTTAATGACCTACTTCATAAAGCAATAGCGTATGGTTTATCACGATATATCTCTCCTAGCAGTATGGGCGCCGCAAATAGTCACATGGAAGAGTTATGTATAATGTACCATCAATACACCTGGTTTAACATAATAAAGTATTGATAGATAAACCAGGTATTCCCTTGAGGAGAGGTCTAGAAATGATTAAATGAACACACTGACATATGTAAAACACTGATTGGATCATTAATATTAAAACTAACAGAATCTTGTAATTGGCCTACAATTAAGGATTTCCGGAGAGTTAATAAATGTTTACTCCCCAGATAAATAGCTTTTTAAATAAAATATACTGCAAGCACAGCGTCCACTTACCACAACCATGAGAGCAGCAGAAGACTGCAGGTGATGGAGTCGCCTTCCACAACAGAAATCTAAAATAAAAATTACATATAATCATAAATAATAACCCACATTCAAAAACCAACTAATCACCTTTAATTAACATACACTCTGATTATTCTGACACGATTAGTTTTACTAGGAGATGTGGGGAAATGTAATTGTACCCGATAAGAAATCTTATAAATCAGTATATCAGTAATGTGTTTAAATGATCAAGGTGAGAGTGCTACTCTATTTACGCACTAATCAAGTTCAACACCAAAAAGCAGATAATATATATCGGCTAATGCTCACACGCCCAGAAAAACATGTCACACATAATTTATGTTAAGCATAAATTCATCATCTACCGTTCAATACCTACCTAGCTGTTATTTACGTGAACGCAGTGTGTTTTAGTATAGGGTTAGTAGCTTAACTGGGGAGTGCCCCTGTAATTCAAATGATTATGATGAGATCTGTGATGTTAACCCAGTATGAATGTCCATTAATCCATTTCCTTAGTTTTTACATGTGTGAAGTAATAATTCCAGAGTGAATTATGTTCTATAATTCCAGCTCTATCGGTAATAAAGTCCTGTTTTAATCCACCTCACAGTAATGTAACAAAATCTGCTGATAGACATGGGAGACACATTTTTGGTGATGGGCTAAGAAGAAAGAGGAAGAAATAATAAACTATAATAGATCATATATATATCTATATATATAAGGATCCTCTTCCTAAGAGCAGCATATTTACATCAGCCATGTTGCGGAACACATTTGCGAAATGATGTTAGCCCACTAAGTACTTGCCTAATGCTATACTACCTATGTAGTCAGGTATTAGTTAGTTTATGGTTCGCGTTGTTGTTTATTTCTAGCTTTTAAAGGCATAACAAGAATGCGCCGTACACACGAAAAACGAGCGCACACGACTAAAGAAAAAAATATAAAATAGTAATGAGATTAGACGGCTCGAATGTAAAATATGGGCGAGGCACGACGTGCAAGCACAGGCACAAGTTACTTTATGCGACCGAGGTGTCTCTTTATTAGTATAGAGTATTGCCACATTAAAAAACGCAACAAGATTCCTTTTTACCCTCAAAACAAACCGTCACACTGCGGACTGCTGTTCATTCTGGATCAGTGAAAGGAGCACAGAGAGCTTCACCACCTTTATATGAGACTCACATACAGCTCGGATATGTTTAACTCTGTTGAGCTGCTTTTGCTAACACCATCCGTGAGGAAGCAGAGAGCAAATCGCTGGTCAGACAGTTCTGTCTGCTGGTCGTCACACCGCCAACAACAGAGACCAGAGTGGAGTCACTCTGCAGGTCAAAGTTCGCCAAAAGTGAACAGAGGCTGAAATAGTACATATTTGTAGAAACCATCTGAAAATGTGCTTAGTGTGAAAGAGATCGTCATCATTTACACAGCATGAACGGCTGAATCATCAGTTACACACATGAGTTTCGCTGACCTCATCGTTGTACACACATGCACTGATCATCGTTTATACAACTACATAAGGACCACTCATACGAATCCAAGATATTAACACACGATAGCCGGGATACATCGTTTACACACATGCCTCATCAATCAATTGTACACACATGCCTGATCATCGTTACACACATGATCTCATCATCATGTTTACAACACATGAAACGTGATTCAATCGTCAATACTATACACACAGGCCTGCCGACGAAAATCATCGTTTACAGACAACATGCTAGATTATACATACAGTCTTACAATCACAATGACTGATCATCATTTACACAAACATGCTGATCATCGTTTACACACATGACTGATCATCATTTACCACACATGACTAGGAGCCATACAGCATTAGCATCGTTTACACACATGAAGCCTAGACGTCAAATGTTTACAACAATCGCCTGATGTCATCGTTTAACACACATGCCTCATCAGCATTAATGACAACAAGCCTGAGCATCGTTACTATTACACACAACGATGACTGATCATGTAACGTAATAATACAACAGACACATGCTGACATTAAATTTGAGATGTAACGGACCCACAAGAGAGCTGATCATCATTTAGACACATGACTGGCAATATCATCAGTTTAACACCCACATAAGAAACTGATACATATTTACACACATGACGATCACAGATTTAGCACACAAGATGGACAGATACATCGTGTTAACACACATGAACTGATCATCGTTATGACACAAACAAATGACTACACAAATGACTGTGAATCAGCGGATATCTGACACCCAATGCAAACTGATCATACATATTACA